CCGCTGCGCCCGTCGTTGCTGCGCCGCTCGCGCCGCCATTGTCATGATGAACTCGTGATGGACGTCGCGAGGGGGGCTGCGCTGTTGCCTGTCGCTGTTTCCCGATCTTTCCTCCTCCTCCTCCTCCTCCTTCTCCACCGGCGGAATAATTCGCGGCGTCGGAGGTCGCCTGCCAATGATCCCCGCGTCGCGGCGAAGTGTCCCTATCGTGCCCATGCGTCTATCGGGGCTACTCCTTCCACTCCCTCGCCCGAAAGGGACGTGCGTATACTCGAGAGAAGGACGTATAATTCCTTTTCTTGTTGACGGCGTCGGAGGCAGTGACGCGGAGAGTTGTTGCGTTCCGGCGTCCTTAAAAATAAAAAATATAAATACAAAATATATAAAAAATAAAAAATATGTATATTAAAAATCTCTCACCTGTAATTGACAATTATGTATAAGAATTTCCGCCTGGATTACTTCGGCCTTCGGTGATAATGGCCGCGTCAATAAAAGCGATGATGATGATGACGTTGTGTCATCGCTGTAGTCATAATAATAATCCATGATGGCACTATAAATTGAAAAGATTTTTTTATACACGTTTAACTGCATTGTTGTTGTCAAAACTCCTTGCCCATGATGTCGTCGGTGACGAGAACAACACGATGGACGAGGAGTCTGGCAACGACGCTAATAACGCATATATTTGTACAATGTTCTTCAACAACTTTGTTTACCTGAGACACTGGCGAGTTGCTGCACACTTTAGGCACACTTTAGGTACACGTTCCCGCACCAAACGACTGTGAAAGACTGAGGGCTTCGATGCATATCTTGGTATAGCTCTTCGAGAATGTTTATATGAAATGCAATCAACAAAGTATACGCTTATCGCGAGGAAGAAATAACAAAGAGACCGAAACTCTTTCATGTGCGCGACCATAGCGAGACATTGTGACCGGCGTCTCGTCGAGATGCGACACGGTGCCGCACCATATGTGTGCGCGTGTATACGTGTGTTCGGTTTACTTCCTATATAGTAGTATAAGTAATATCCTTATAAGTAATATTCTTATAAGTATAAAGGTAGTCTAATGCTAATGGAAAGGATGTAGTATTAATTGCGCAAATATATGTTTACAAGTATATGTGTATTAAAAATATAATGATTATACAAAATGAAATATCTGAGAATTATAAGAAGTATTGAGACGTAGTATTAAGAAAATAT